TCTCTTCTTCCTCCTCTCTCTCTCTCTCTCTCTCTCTCTCTCTCTCTATCTCTCTCACAACTTTTTTCTTTTTTATCCTCACTTTAAAATCTTTTCTCACCTTGAACTTTCTTTTTCTTTCTTTCGAGCAGTTCGAGCCGATAGTTATTTCGCGCGTTTACGATACTCAAGTTTTATTTCGTCGGGCATTTAGCCGCAGGGCTCCGTTTTAGAGGGAGGGCTGAGAGGAAGAGGGGGAAAAGAGGGATCTTAGCACCCAGAAACAATTTCGATGGTGGGGATTGCGAGAGGCTCGACAGTATCGATGTTTACGAGCTCAAATAAACGGCGCCGCCGTCGCCGCCATCGGCGTGCGGTTATTTCGTATTACTTTGGGATTTTAATGGAGAAGGGAGTATTTTAAAGTGCCGCATAAAAATCTCCTGACGCTCTTCTCCTAGAAGATGGTCGGAGGATAACGTATGTCTCAGTGCGATGTACTGTTTTTGCGTTCACAAAAGAGTCTTCACCGCGGGATTTCGGAGTCGCGTTCTGCTGGCCACTTGTTCTTCACATCCTACGTCTTCCTCGCTTCTCATATTTCACGATTTTTTTCAGATTTATCATTTACACATTTCAAATTACATTTGGGACTGCACAACTCCAGCTATTGTTGCTATTTTCTTTGTACTTAACTTTAATATATATATCTTCTTTTCATAATATGTGAAATATATATGAAAAGTTCTATATTATATAATTTATCTTATTATTTTCTTAAATTATGAATTAAGGAACATATATATTTGATTGATTTTTTTTCTCTCTTTTTATAATTGGCCATTCTTGCCAAATTTATTTTCTAAGCGATTGTAAGAATTATTCAATCGGCGAATAAAATTAATATCTTAACTACGATTATTATTTCTAATATCAAACTATGATATAACTACTTGTAGTTTAGATTTAGCAGCAAGCAGCGGGTTTCTTACGAACCTCACAGATAATGGAGAAGAAGGCGATATTCGCGCCACGCCCGTAATCAATATCACCGCCATTGTCTTCGGTTACGGTGCAGGCGTCGTAAATTTGGCAAAATGTTAATTCCACGTGCGAGAGTGAGCGGCTCTCGCCGAGCAATTTTCGCAGCCTCGCCGTCGGGGATAATCACCACGTTTCTGCCGAGGTGTATCTCGGTTCTGAGGATCTAATGATGAATTTTGTGCTACGCGGGTGAGCGAGCCTCGGAGCTTGGAAAACAAGAACGGAGGAACGTGTCGGCCCGTCGACCTTAACCGACACTTCTTGGCGAACTTCTACTTTCTTTCTGTCTAAACGTCTGTACGGTCATCACATTCGTGGTGTTCCTTTTTCATTAGAACACCTTCTACCAAGAAAGCCAAGGCACTCATAAGGTTCCTCTCGACGTGTCGGCTCGAGTCATTATATGTTTCGGTGTAGGTCATAATTCTGTTTACTGGATAACATCTGTCGATTATATTAGCTATAAAAATATCAAAGCCACATATTTAACATATCATATTTTAGTCAATTTTCAGCAACGATGATCATACAATAAAAGAATTAATTTACTTTAGAATTAACTTACTTTAATTAGAAGTAAACTTACGTTATTTATATTTGAAAGATTAAATCGTATTTTAAATATAATACTAAGCCTAAAAAAAGAATTTTTCTCGAATGATTTAAGAAGCAAAATATAATATGGTACAAATATGATAGCTATTGTCATTGTCTTAAAAGAAATTGTCGATACTTTTAATTAATGAAAGTTGCACTTTAAATAATTTCTCGTATATTCTTTTACACACAAAGTATACAATAACATAGAGAATGCGAATATACGCTCATCTAACTTTGCTAATTAATGAATTAGCATGTAATTATACATTTAATTTTTTTTTAGAAAATTAAAACATTTAATTTTCTAAGAAAGAAAGAAAAATCCATCGAAATAAAAGTCCTTTCTATTTATCAATTCGTTAATCTTTCTATTTCACACAAAAGTAATATTACTTATATGAAGAATTATGATTAAATATTGTAGCAAAGAATTATACAAAATCTGATCTTATTTTTATGTTATTTAATTTAATATTTATTTTTGTATGCAAGAAGGATTTACGTGATAACAAAAATCTTTCCGTGTATCGAGTAAATCTTGCGATTTCACTGCGGTACTTCTTCTTAAACGAAAAATCGTCGAATAAATTTCGTCAAATAAATTCCGCCAAATATTCGCCATACCTCTTCATTATAGCAATCAAGTCGTTCATCTTTGATGCGACTCGAGTTTGCGGGATACAAGATAGAGAATGGCAGAAAACCTGCGTGATCCCATCGCCAATGCAGATCCATGCTCGGTCTGCATTCTCGGGGCTCCTGGCGCCATGCCACGCGCATTTGGTATCCTGCGACTCTGAGTAGCATCTGTTCGATACAAATACACGGTACTCGAGTTTGCGTTCGTTCCACCGGTTCTTTCCTTCCATGGTCCACGATCTCCGACATTGTCGGCAACGACGACGAGTTTTCTTTTGCGGTACACCCCAAGTACCTCATGCAAGAAGGAACGTCCTTACTGCGCAATTATTTTCACATGATTCCGATCGCTGGCCAGATTAAGACCGCCCTTTCAGCACCGCGTGCCGATCGCGCGATCATTCGTTTGCGAACTGTCCGCGAGGATATGAGTGCGATTTAAGTCGCGAGCAAAACCAAATTCCGGGGCAGCGAACGTGCGACTATGTCTCTGATGTCCTCTGCGACGACGGTCATTTCTTTGCTTCGCAAGGAATTTGCACGAAGCTATCTAATAAAACTTTGAGCTCTTTTCTATAATGCTATATTTACGTGTCAAAAGAAATTTACTCATTTGGTTAATTTTTAAATATTTTTTAAATATTTTAAATATTTTTAGCGATATTTATGTTTATTTCATAATTATTGAATTATTATAGGAAAAATTATGTGCAACAAGATAGTACTTCTTTAAAGTATTGATAACAAATGATTTTTTTTCTTAATTATTTATTATAAATTATTATGTACTAAATTATTTTAAATAATACTTGTGGAAATTAAATAATAAAAGAGGTAAAAAAATACAATTGCTTTTTTTTGACGACTTAATATCTAATATTATGAAAAATATCTAAATTATTTTAAACATTAACAATCTTAACGATATTTTACATTAGTTTTAGTTATTCCGATAAAAATCTCTTTTCAATAAACATACTAATACATACTAATTTTACATGAAATTACATAAACTTACTTATTTGAAATATTAACTTTTCCTTCTCAAACTTCGCCAAATAAAAACTTAACGCTCTTAACGAAAAAGAAATTGTAAATTAATTTTATTTTATACGTAAGGTGAAAGGTGTGTTTATCCAAAGCTTACGTAGATGTCTTTCAATATTAATATTAATTCTTGCAAATATACAATTAAATGATTATTTTTGCTAAGAAATACGAGTAACTTTATGGCTTACATTTTGTGAATGTCTTGCCCTGTTCTGTAAGCCACAAACATTTGCCATAACTTATGCACGAAGTATACACATGGTGCCTCCGAATGTATGCGTTGGTCACTTAAACACAATCAACTCAAGCTCGTAATTGCACAACAAAATCACACAACGGCGCGTGTACTGCATTTTGTAAAGGTTCGCCCACTAGTACGACACACTTTGTACATACACTATCTATAGATTGCAAGACTATATTCTTGATAGTGTGGGTGGTGTCTACAAACTATTGTAATCAGAAATGAATGAAGTGCGATTTCCTCTACATAAAAAAGATTCTAATCTTAATATTTGACTTTAATCCGAACCGTTATTTGAATTGCTCAACTAAACTTACTGTGTTAAATAGTGTATATACTTGGAAGATATTGCGATCCTATACGCAGTTTATAATATTCATTGATGAACAAATATTATTAAATTATATTTCATCAATTTTGAGATTAATTTGAATGTGATACTAATTTATGTAATAATAAATTGCAATAACAAGTAAATTATGTCGATTAAAAGCAAATGACGATTATTAAGTTAAAAAATCACATAATAAATATAAGACTCGCTTTTTATATTCATATTAACTCAATGATATAAATCAAGTAAAAATATAATTGTATTACTATCACTATTATTATAATTATTTCCCTAGATTTATTTATAATTTAAAAAACCGAGAGAAAGATGAGGATCGAAATAATAATTTTCGTTAGCTTAATATTTATATAAATATATAAATGTAAATATATAAATTTAATTATTTTGCTTACAGTTTGCATCGGTACAAATGGCCGTCTCTCCGTGCCGTCCAATAAACAACATCACTACCGGAATCTTCGAGACCGGTACACCAACTGTACTTACGTCGATGGTAACCTGGAGATCACGTGGCTCCAGAACAAATCCTTCGACCTTAGTTTCCTCCAGTACATACGGGAGGTCACCGGTTACGTCCTCATCAGTCACGTGGACGTACGGAGGATCGTCCTCCCAAGTCTACAGATCATCCGTGGCAGGACCCTTTTCAAACTCAATATTCACGACCACGAGTTTGCCCTCTTCGTTACGATGTGTCAAATGCACAACTTGGAGATGCCGGCCCTCAGAGGTATGTTATTTTGTACATGGATATAAGGCATGTCACACTATCTTTGAATATTTATTCATAAATTAGAATCGAATAAATTAGAGTCGAATTCATGATTAATTTGAACGTATGATTTATAATTTACAAATTGTAACTTTATGTACAAATAACAGAAAAACATGTTTCAATAGTTATATATAAATTTATAAAAAAATTTATAAATTACAATTTGGCATTCTGGAACTATCAAATTATTTGTTAAAAGTAATTACACTGGTCGAACAATATCGAAAGGGAAAATTTAAAACGAACTCTCTCATCTTGTTCGCATTTAATTCGCCGCAATTGGTTTATAGATATATTGATAGATATATTGATCGGTTTATAGATATACTCAACGGGAGCGTGGGCATGTACAACAACTACAATCTCTGCCATATCAAAACTATCAATTGGGAGGAAATAATCACAGGTCAAAGTGGACGATACTTTTACGTATACAATTTTTCATCGCCGGAACGCGCTTGTCCAGCTTGCGACGAAAGCTGTACACAGGGCTGTTGGGGCGAAGGTCCGAAAAACTGTCAGCAATTCTCGAAGACAAACTGCTCACCTCAATGCTGGCAGGGCAGATGCTTCGGCCCTAATCCGCGCGAATGTTGCCATCTTTTTTGCGCAGGTGGTTGTACTGGACCCAAACAGAGCGATTGTCTTGCCTGTAAAAATTTCTTTGACGATGGCGTGTGTACTCAGGAATGCCCGTCTATGCAAAAGTAAGTATCACATCATATATTTACATTTTTTATCACAAAATTAAAGTAAAATATTACAAAAGGTATTACGTGATAATGCTATAACATTTTTAAACGCATTTAACCGATAAAATAACAATTCTTTTAAACTTTTCTAAGTAATAAATTAATATGAAAAAAGAACCAAATTTGCTCATAATGTTGATCATTCATAATAAAATTATTCAATGAAATTAATAAAAAATATATTTGTATCTAATACCGATGACTTTTTTAGATACAATCCAACAACTTATTCATGGGAAGCCAATCCTGAAGGAAAGTACGCATACGGGGCAACTTGCGTAAGACGATGTCCAGAACATCTTTTAAAGGATAATGGTGCATGTGTAAGATCTTGTCCATCGAAGAAGAAAGCAGTGAATGGCGAGTGTGTACCTTGCGATGGTCCTTGCCCAAAAACCTGTAAAGGAGTAGAAAAAGTTCATTCCGGTAACATTGACACTTTCAAGGATTGTACCATTATCGAAGGATCTATTACGATTTTGGATCAGAGTTTTGAAGGTTTCCAGCATGTCTATCCAAACTATACATTTGGCAAACGATACGAAAAAATGCATCCCGATAGATTAGAAGTTTTCAAAACGCTGAAAGAGATTACAGGCTATCTTAATATTCAAGGAGATCATAAGGACTTCAAGAACCTTTCATATTTTCGAAATCTGGAAGTGATCGGAGGCAGAGCACTCACAGAATATTTTGCATCGTTATATATCGTCAAGACATCTTTGGTATCTTTCGGTCTTAGCTCTTTGAAAAAGATTTATTCTGGCTCGATCGCTATTCTGGAGAATAAAAATTTGTGTTATGCGCAAAGTATTAATTGGAATAAAATAAAAAAATCATTCGAACATGAAAGTCTCTTGTCGAATAATCGAAACGAAAGCGAATGCAGTAAGTATAATAAAAAGATATGTACGTAGTTTCTTAATTTTTAAATTGATTTTTGTTTGTAGATATTTTTAAAGTATTAAATTTTCGTAGCATATTTATTATGATAAATTTTATTTTGAGAGTTTTTATTTTTACTTTTTGAAGACTATATTTTTAAAAAATGTTATTAATATTATATATTATTATATTATTAATTCATATTTATTTATTTTTATATAAATAAGTTATTGGGCTTCTGTACAAAAATTATATAGAATATTATCTAAATTACAGTTAAGGATGGCCTTGTATGTGATGAACAATGTTCGAATGAAGGATGTTGGGGACCAGGACCGGCACAGTGTCTGTCGTGCAAGAACTTTATTTTAGGAAATGATTGTCTTCAAGATTGTACTGCGCCAGGGTAAATCAAGAAATAGAATTATTTAATATGAAATTGAAAATTTCAATAATGCGTCTTTTTTTTCAATCAAAATTGCTCTCGTAGATCATGGATTGAAGGTAAATCGAAAATCTCCCGCGAGAAACTTAAATCTTCAATTTTCGCCGTATTTTTCATCCATTTCGTAAACAGTTATATGTGTATTAAGTAGTACATGCACTCTCATCACCATTTTTAATCTACCATTTTAATCTACATTTGTATTGAAAAAGCGAATGGCACGAATAACAAAAAATTTGAATATTAAATATATTTAAATTATTTTCTGTGTATATCTTATTTTTATCTTTGTTAATTTCTGTGCTTTTTCTTGTTACTCTAATTTTTTTGTTTGTGTTTGATTTTTGTATTACTTTTTATGTGACATTTCAACGTTATTTAACAATTGATTATTTATGTCATTAGAATTTATCAAGCGGACGAAAAGAGCTGTAAAATATGTCACGAAGAATGCGATGGCTCCTGCGTTGGTCCTAATGCCGACCAATGCGTGAAATGCAAACACGTGCAAGACGGACCGTTCTGTGTGCCCGAGTGCCCATCCTCGAAATACAACGACAAAGGTCAATGCAAACACTGCCACGAGAATTGCGAGGGCGGTTGCGAGGGACCAGAAAACAACATAGGCGCCAATGGATGTCATAGTTGCGAAAAGGCAGTTATAAATGGCCACATACCAGAGAAATGTTTACAAAAGAAAGAACCATGTCCTGATGGTAAGATTCATTTAATAGCTGCTTTATAATTTTTGCCAATATTTTATCCAATTTTTGCCAATTAATATCCAATTATATGATTAAAAAATTATTATTTATTATTTTATTTATCCTCATTAATTTTATGAATATTCAAAAATAATAGTAATTTATTATCACGGAATAATATTTTATTATCACAATACAATTGAAATTAATTATATATTTTTATAATAATAATATATATCTAATTTTTCATAAGAAGTGCTATCAAAAATGTAATTTAATATTGGATAAAATAGCATTTTTTGTGTAAAATACACAGGACATTATTATGAATTTGTGAGTCCGGTGGAGCAAGGTCCTTTAAAACTTCTCGCTGGAAAAGGAGTCTGTCGTAAATGCCATCCACGTTGCAAGAAGTGCACAGGATACGGTTTTCACGAGCAAGTATGTCAACAATGCACCAAGTTCAAAAGAGGAGAACAATGTGAGGATGAATGTCCTGCTGATCATTTTGCGGATGCCGATACGCAACTATGTATACCATGCTTTGGAGAATGCCGAGGATGTTTCGGACCAGGCGCTAATCAATGTTACAAATGCCGGAATTATAAAATTTATATTGTACGTAGATGTCAATATTAAAAATAATATTAATTATGTTATAAATATTTTATAAATATTACTAAATTATTAATTTAATTACTATTTTATAAATATTAATAAAATAGTAAAGTAAAAAAATAATAAAAATATAATTTTAATTATATATTTAATAAATAAAACAGTACAATAGATTTGTAGAGGAAAAAATTACAGTATAATATCTTTTATTATATTGGTGTTAAAATTTATATCTTTGTAATTATAATTTATAATATATTTTTTATTATAAAGAAGTTAAGAATCAAAATATTAATTATTTTTACATGGTTTATATATTTAGGATAGGACAGATGATGTTAACGATAATTCAACGTCCTTCAACTGTACGGAGACTTGCCCACCAGAGTATCCTCACAAGATATTTCCACAAGACAGTGAGCCATATTGTTCGGTAGAAACAATAGGCCTTGGCTATCAAATGGATAACGATTTTCATCCAGCTGTTTTGGCCGGGGTTGTGGTCCTATTAGGATTATTCATTGTCATTGTCGCTGTTTCATTGTACTTCTGGCGAGTAAAAACGAAAACTAAGGAAAATACGGTAAAGATGACGATGGCTTTAACTGGTTTAGATGATAACGAACCGCTTCGACCAACGGGTGTAAAACCAAATCTTGCTAAACTGCGAATTATTAAGGAAGAGGAGATGAGAAAGGGTGGTATACTGGGTTATGGTGCTTTCGGTAATGTGTATAAAGGTGTCTGGGTGCCCGAAGGGGAGAATATAAAAATTCCTGTCGCTATAAAAGTTCTCCACGATGGTACAGGTGCAAACACGTCCAAAGAATTTCTGGATGAAGCTTATATTATGGCTAGTGTCGAGCATCCGAATCTGCTGCAGTTACTTGCAGTATGCATGACGTCGCAAATGATGTTGGTCACTCAATTGATGCCTTTAGGCTGTCTGTTGGATTTCGTACGCAGGTACAAGGATAAAATCGGTTCGAAGCCGTTATTGAATTGGTGCACACAAATCGCGAGAGGTATGGCTTATCTAGAAGAGAGAAGATTGGTCCATCGAGATTTGGCAGCGCGAAATGTCCTTGTGCAAACTCCTAATTGCGTGAAGATCACTGATTTTGGTCTTGCTAAATTATTAGACATTAACGAGGAACAATATAAAGCTGCAGGCGGAAAGATGCCGATAAAGTGGTTGGCATTAGAATGCATTCAGCATCGAGTGTTTAATCACAAATCGGACGTGTGGGCCTTTGGAGTAACCATTTGGGAAATTCTTACTTATGGTGGTAGACCATACGAAAATGTCTCTGCTCGAAACGTACCCGAGTTGCTGGAGAAGGGTGAAAGATTACCGCAGCCTACGATTTGCACGATTGATGTATATATGATCATGATTAAATGTTGGATGCTTGACGCCGAGTCTAGGCCTAGTTTCAAGGACCTAGCAGAAGATTTTGCAAAAATGTCTAGAGATCCTGGTCGATATCTTGCTATTAAAGGAGATAAGTATATGAGATTGCCTTCATATACACTACAGGTAATTTATATTTATAAAAAATTTATATCTTTTTATTAACTTTTTATTTATTTGAGACGATTATTATATAAATTATGATAAAAAGCATATTCGTAATAATTTTATTAATGCAATTTTTTTATAATAATATGTCTTTCCAAAAATAATTCTCTCTCTTTTTATAATTGTTTAACATTATATTGATTGTTAATGTGAATTTTCAGGATGAAAAAGAGATGATACGAAATCTCGCATCAGCGATGGATGGTCCCGAAGCTCTCGTGGACGCCGATGAGTATCTGCAACCTAAAACGCGAGCGCCGCTTCCCCCCACGATTTCTGCATCTAGCATTTCCGGTTCGCCACCGAATACACCGGTGAAGTTGTACTGGCCAAATAGCAAGCCACTTGCGGCTGATTCTCCAACGCCACAGAATCAACAAAATTGGGACAGAGAGCTTTTGAGGTATGGTGGAAATCATGGAAATGGAAACACGTCGCACGAAGCTGGCAATTCCGGTCAACATACGCATTACACGCATCCTAATGGTCATTGCGGACATGTCACAGGATCGGATAACTCAAATTCGAGATACTGTTCAGATCCATTAAAAATGGTCGGCGTTAGAGGTAAGTAAACGAAAATTTTTAACTATTAAATTTAAAGAAATCAAATAAAATAGTATTACGACCGAGCGATGATTCCTCATTGCCCCCCGAGTACGTATTGACCTACAAGAAGAAGATCATCTCTGTCGATGCGGTAGTGAACTTCGATCGCGAGAGAACCTAGCAATTGCTAACATTATGCTTTTTATTAACGCTCTGAATAATCTTTCCTTCTTTTCCTTCTTTTATAAAACGGTCTTATTTTTTCACGAGTAAGTGCGCGAATGAATCTGTGCGAATGCCCGCCGCGAGCGCGACAATATTTCTGTGAAACTTGCAATAATGCTTAATATTAAATCAAGTTACATAAATATTATAAGATAAATTTATTTAATGAAACATCGCATAAATTTCAGATTGTGACGTAACGGATGATTGTTTCGATACAAAAGTGAATACCGCACATCAACAAGCTCAAGTAGGGAATTTAAAATTGGATTTGCCATTGGATGAAGATGATTACCTTATGCCATCACCACAACTGCCAGCTAATACGACACAATATATGGATCTTATTGGGGAATCTAAACCAATAGGTAAATAATAGAAGTAAAATGTTATATTATTTTAAATAATTTTATCTATATTATGTAACATTGAACATTAATACATTAAATTTTGTTTTTAAAAAGTCATATTTTATTTATTTGTTAGTATACATATGATTTCATAATTTCTAAGTAATTAATTTTTTATTTATTATTGAGTGTTATTTATTATATTTTTATATTTCTTTTTATAAAGTATTAAACTTATTTTTATTTTATTTTTAGAATCCGAACCGAAACGGTTAAATAATGGTTTTCGGAAGTATCCAGATTTCCTAATGATTCAAGGAAAGACATCACTGGACAATCCGGAATACATAATGTCACAAGATGAGGGTCCACTTACGCCTCAAACTTTAGGTATTCCTACGCCGGATTTAGAAAAAGTTTTGACAAATGGCGCCTTTGGATCTCAAGTTAGACAGCGAAGTTCCGAAGAAGAATCAGATCATGAATATTACAACGATTTTGATCGGTTGGAAAGAGAATTGCAGCCATTAAAACCTTTTAGGAAAAATGAAACTACGGTATGATTTCAGTAATGTAAAAAGAAGCTCAAGATTCTACGGGACCAAGAATAATTTTCGAAAAAGTGAATTTTAAAAAGAAGTGACAAAACTTTGGGACGTTTTATCATTGAAGTATCATTTGAACGCATCATAGTTACTCAATGTCTAAGGACAGAATTCATTGTACTTATAAAGGACACTTCGCTCAAGTGCCGTGTTTGATTGTGATTAGATATAAGCTAGAGACTCGTGCGTATTATGGGATATAAATAGAAATGGAAAAAATTATAATGACATACATGAAGGAGAGTCGCGCGATGGCGATACTCGCAAACAAGTAGTGCAAAAATATTCTTAACGTGCCATTTGTCGTGGCTTGTAAATAAAATAAATTACTTTTCGCGCTAGCTTCTCAAGGATAAGAAATATCCTAGGACTTATTTACAATGTCAATGTGTTATTTACAATATCGTCTTTGTTTAATAGTTTTTTGAGTCTACATTAAGCAAATTTTAAGTCTTACAATTGCAAAACGAAATTCCTAATATTTAAGGCCATCACACACAAAATGCATAGAATATGCCATAAAATTATCTAGACCAATAAACATCCAGTATAAAGTCGCCATATTGATTTACATAATATGTTTATTGGTTCGGATGATGGTATGTTGTGCTTATATACCTATGTCACTTTTTGTTGACGGGCTTTATATATATATATATATACACAGGGTGTCCGGCATCGATCATATCATCTCTCGTGTGTAGGTAGAGCTGGTAAAACTGAGTAAAAAAGTCTTCATTTCAAGTATCATTTTGCAATTTTCACGATAATTATCGAGTTATTAATTCTTAAAAATGACCGTATCAGCTCATCGGCAAATGCAAGCGAGCAGTAAAATATCCCCGCCCGGCGATCATCGTTGCTAGGTGCGCGAGGAATTGTTTTCTTTAATATACTGGCTATAGCTATTGCCTTGAAGTAAACAATTCCTCACGCACCTATTAACGATGATCACCGGGCGGGAGTATCTTACCGCGCGCTTGCATTTGCCAGTGGACCGGGCTAATGGCGTGTATTTTTAATAATTAATAATTCGATAATTATCGCGAAAATTGCAAAATGATAGAGAACTTTTCTATTTAGTTTTACCAGCTCTACTTGCACACGAGAGATGATATAATCGATGCCGGACACCTGTATATATATACATATATAAAATTATTGAAAATGATATATAAGTGGCCTTACATTAGAAGGTTAAAAAAAATTTGTTTTACATTTATCTTTGAAAAAATAGTCTTATTATTAGGATTTATAAAACCTTTGAAATTAATGATCTATTGATTTATTGATATTATATTATATTGATCTTTATAAATTTTATAAGTTTAAATTAGCTTCGCTTTTAATCTTATAAAAGCATCTATTCTGAAAACTAATATTCATAATGACGATATTTATTCTTTGACAAATGTGGTTCTCGGATGTTCGGAGCGGGTAACTCGAATTCTTTTCAATCTTGCGTGAAAACGTTGGAAAAAGTGGAGAGAGAGCGATGACGGAGAGCGAACAGATAACAAGCAAGCGCGAGTGTGTAATAAGAAGAGAAAAGGCATGGGGTGCAGAGTCTCGTCCTTCTTAATGGTAAACGGGGAAGATTACCAGATGAACTGGTCACGAAGGGTGGAAAGAGAATGAAAAGTTCGAAATAAAATGATAACGAATACACCCACGCGGCGGCGAGCTTGCCGATAGAAGCTGCTTCTGCTTATTACGTCACGCTGAACATAGTTATTAATTAGTTATATTCAAAGCATCGCACGAACGAGAACGAATACTGGAAGGATTGGCGTAGCTTCTCCTCGGATGAATTTGTTTTCCCGTCGCGGAAAGAAAGAAAGGAGGGTAACATGACGAAAGGACAGGAAAATATTTTGTACATAGAAACGAGGACAACCACATTTGTTATAAATCAATGTTTTCAGAGAATTAAATTTTAAAATCAGACATATTTATGAGTGCAAAATATCGAAGAATTAAGGCTGTATTATAACCGCTCGTAAATTTCAAAATAATTTATTGTTGTTAAAATTTTATCAATGCAAAAATGATTTCAGGTATTTTTGAGCGGAATACTTGAAATATAAAATCGCTCAAGTTTTATAAACTGTCAAACTATTTGTTTATTATAAATACAAAACAAATTTATTAATGGTACGTTAATAAATAACAAACTTCTTACGTTTTTTTATAACAAACGTAAAAAAGATGTATCATGAACTAAAAAGAAATATTTTTTATAAAAAAGTTAGTAAAAAAATCTAAATTAATTCTGAATTTAGAATACGATAATTTATATATATTCAAAATAACAATAATGTTTTCTTAATTTTATTATTTCTCAATTCGAACTCTTGTTGAAAATTTAATTAAAGCTTTTAATTAAAGCTTTTAAATATATTTTAGCATAGCATTTATGAAGTGTTCCGCTTAGAATAATAAAAGTTAAGCGGTTCCGCTACAAAAGCCAGCTTGCAACAACGTCCATGAATAAATCTGATTAATAATAGTTTTTGTTTTTTATCTACTTTATAATTATGTATTACATTATGAGAAAAAAATCCAATTATCTATCGCTCAAATTATTAGACGTTAGGGCAACCGGGCAAAACATTTGTACGGTATACCGCTGACTGTGATACGAATTATTTTACTTTCTTCTGAGAACACTCAAATACCACAATGATAGCACCTTTTCCTTCTCGCAGTAAGCTACGACAGCGAAATTATATTGTCCTATTTTACTGCCGAGAATAAATTCGCTTCGTGTCGAGATTCGAGCTGATCACGATGCAGACGAATGCGACTCTACTTAAGAATTAAGAAGCAAAGAGACTTGAAGATGTTTTTTCCTTCCTCTTATGCCATTGTCTTTATAGTAGAAATCGGTAATATTGGTTTTAAAATGAAATGATGAATTATTTCGATTTTTATATACAAAACGCGACTTTGTACATAGTTTAACGGATAGCATAGTAAACGGAAGCTTTTACAGGCATAAAACGTGGAGAGTATTTGAATGAAATCAGTGATCATCGCCAAAATATAGCGATTTGTACGTAGCCGCACCAAGTAACAGTACGATAGGACGTGCCATGTTGTACAGAAAAAAAAGAAGAAAATACACGAAAGAACAAATTTTATGATACAAAATGGATCTTTGTTGTATTTAATAAATTTACGGGAACTCTGTTCTATGAGCCTTGCATTTGCTATAGACAAGCAGAAGCGTGCGCGAGATTGATGATCTGTTTTAGGAATAATATAAACCTTCACAATCAATTTTGTTCTCACAAGCAATACAACTAGTATCATCTTGTAATATGGATAAAAAAAGATTACATATTATTATATATATAATATTTAAATATATTATATATACAATATATACAATATATATACAATATATTTTTCAGTTTGTTATATGATGACACTAATAACATCAATTTTCTAGCTTTAATATTTTTTTTATAATGTTATGAAGCAATCAAATCAAATTATTTCGAAAATTAAAGAAAAAAAATATATATTTAGATTCAAAATATTTATTCATCATTCTCTTTCTTCTTTCTAAATAATTATTTGCATATTACTCAGGATCATATTTTCTGATTGAAATAAAAACGAAAGTTTGCAATAAATGCTTCAATATGCGAAAGAATAAATCCGCATAGATTTTCAATCTCGCTACACACTGTGCAGTATCTTATATGTAATAATATAGCCAATACGTATTGTGTACATTGTATTAAGTGTTACTAATTATTATTAGTGTAACAGATTCTTTTTGTAATATATCATTCATCAATGTGTTACTTCCCGCACGAGGAAAGACACATGATTTTCTTGAACGAACCAAGAAAATATCTGTCTTTCTATTTTCTTCATCCTCGCACGTTTGATTTCATATATAAAAGACCCTGCACATTTTATGGTATATGAAAAAACTGGCTTTAGTCAAATTGGCTGAAATTGAAATATTTTAGTTTAGATGGTAATTAAAAATTTCCTCTGACAAAAAATCCAAAAATTAATAGTATAAAAGATACGATCATTTGAAGTGAATGTTATTAGAGTTTAATCCATTAAGACTCGGCTCTCTCACCGCGCGACATCGATTATATGACGTCAGAAGCGAGAAATGACAAAAAATTTCTTGCGTCGTATAGTTTCATTTTGTACTTTTCTCTTAAAAACATGATATTTTCATATTCTTAAAACTTGTAAAAAATATTAGAAATATCTGTCTAATAGATAAAATATCTGTCTAATAGATTATAAAGTGTAAAATAATTCTTGAAATAATAGTTGCTGCTCAACTATCAAAAACAACTAGATTTAATAAACTAATAATTCTTATCGTATCGTACTTATCGTATCGTACTAATCGTATCGTACTATTCTTATCGTACTAATAATTCTTAATCGTTCTTTGTTTATGTAAAAATTATTTATTTATAATAATTAGTTGCAAAATTAATTTTTGCAATGCTTTTGTATCAGAAATGTTTTTTTATGCTCCAGTTCTATTTTTAATAATTATTTTTTAGCTTTCTTCTTTTGCTGATCTAGATATAAGCTTTAATGGGTTAAACTCCAATAGCATTCATTTCAAACGATCGTATCTTTTATACTATTGATTTTTTGATTTTTTTATCAGAGAAAACTTTTAATCAGCACCATCTAAATTAAAATATATTTTACTTTCTTCCAATTTGACCGAAGCCACTTTTTTCAATGTTTATAAAATGTGCGGGATCCTTTGATTGCGATTGAACGTGTTAATTAGAAACTGTACAGTGTAATCGAACGTTATGTAATTTGCGAGGAGTTGCATTTGCCATTCGGTTGTGGACATAGAACTTATAAATCTTTATTGTATCATTATATCGTAAAAATTTATTGTAATAAAAAACAATCATTCTTATCATTTGTTTTTCCTTTTTGAATTTATGTAATTTTGCCTTGTATATATTACAAACGAGAACATTTTTGTCTTATATGGTATCTTGATGTATATACACAACAAGGAAAATTTATGCATGAAGAAAAGTGATTACATTTTTATCTAATGTCTTTCCTTAGTAAATTCCTTTCTAAGAATTCTATATGCTTCATTCTAAGAACTCTATATGCATGCTTCATTTTTGTATCTGTGATGTATCTAAAAGATACAATCTCTATTCTCTAGATAATAACTCATATTTTATGCTCGTTTTTTACGTTCATATTGATTATATTTTTTAAAAAGGCGCATAATTAAATCAATTTTCATTGTTATTTCTTTTATAATATTGATTAATTTTCTTATTATATTTTGTACTTCCTACAAGCTGATAATAATTCAGAATGATAATGAAAATAAATGTAAAGAAATGTAATACATGTAAATATATATGTGTAAATATATATTTACACTGATATTATAATCAATATAAATACATAACATTGAAAAAGCTTATTCAAATGTGTCTATCGAAATTGATATTTATTATAATATTCACATTTAATATTTCAATATTTACATGGGCATATCCAAAAGAAATATGGTTCACTCCCCCTCTTTAAAATTGTTTATGTCATATTTTATCTATATTTTTTCATGTAAAAAAATAAAAGCTATCATTTATAAAAGTCAATATTTTCCGATTCAAAAAATTCAGGAATGAGAAGATATTCTAAGCTCTAAAATATCCAAAAAAGTAATTTATTAATGCAAGACATTATTGTTTTTGTAATAAAATTGATAACCCCCTCCCCTGAAAAGAAATTCTAAGTATGCCCATGATCTATAGTATATTACTAAGATATGAAGAAGAAAGATCTTCAATGTGCTTGATAATTAATATGTGCACGGAACCATACGAAATTATACGAAAAGACACGAGAATGTGCTTATATCAGTCACAAGTGAACGTCTATTACGACATCTGCAATTCCGACTTGTTCTTTAGTCAATCTTTTGCAATTGCATGACGCGGGTCATGTGTACCTAAGATATTTTTAAGTTTTTTCGTTTAAAATTCTGTTTAAAGACATTTTTTTAATGTGATTAACGACTCGTACATATTATTCTATTTGAAGATTTAAATTTACGTAAGAAATTTTAATTTCTGTATATTGTGCACAGAAGAGAACATTTAATTATTTTAAAGTATACTATTTTTCTGAAATTTCCTACATTAAAGTGTATTTGCTGATTATGATGTGATGTACATACATTGTTGCTCAGTCAGTTTGCTTTTATCGATCTAATACGTTATCAGTAAAGTTCTTACACGTCATTGTTCTTACACTGAGAAAAAACAAGAGTATCAAATATGCAACAGCATCAAACAGTATATCATGCTCTTGTTTTAATAATCAAGATTTTCGTTTCATTAATAATGTCATTGAATTAACAAAATTATTTTCAATTAGACTAATGCTGTT